CAACTGATTTGTTTTGTGGTGTGCAAATCTGGGTTTGTGCATCAATAAATACATACAAGTATAAAGAGGTATATGATCAGGATTTTAATCACATTTCACAGGTGCAGCTACTTTAGATGTCTTCACCGATGTAAATCTATGTAAAATGAAAGAAAACCTAAAACAAGGTATGTCTACTTAACACCGTGATAACAGATTTCAAGTGAGCAGTAGTTTTAGTTAATGCATATGGCATCGCTGTCTCAAGCCTTGTGTATTATTTACTGTGAAGATATCTATAACTAGTGACTTAATGAAAGAATTTTAACAAGTAAATTAAAGTACGGTAGTTTAAGTGGTCGTTCTTTAATATTTATTGATTTTTTAATAAAATATGAAATTGAACATACAGGTACACCACCGATTATCCGGCAACTGATGGTCCGCACCTTCTTTAATCGGGACAAAATTATGAGAGAGCACTTAACTTCCCTCCCTCCCTCCCAACCTGCATGAAGGTAGTTTTAGGCTTACAGTTTTGATCTTATAAAATGTAGCTGACTAGACTTAGCAGAATATAAATTGCATTGCTGGAATCTTTGTAAGATAGTGATTAATTTGATAATAAACACCACATAGTTTGCACAAGTAATAAAAATTTTAGTCTAGTGTAGTACAGTACATTTGAGTACAAAGTGTGTACAGTAATGTTGCTCAAAATTATGGTTTATTCACACTTAATTTACATTTAATATTTGTTTAATTTAAGTTTCTAGCATTCCACGGTGCTTTAGAGAGACGGGAGGTGTATAATTAGTGGGTCAGAGGTGTATTGTTGAATTACAGTATGTCCGCTCTTAACGTTGTCCCGCTTAACATTGTTTCGGTACTGCGTCGTTAAACTTTAGAGACAAAAAATTCGTTTAACGTCCCAGTGATCCGATACTACATCGTTTTGTATCGTCACAGACTACTTTCTACGGTGCATCACCCTGATACTACATCGTTTTGTATCGTCACAGACTACTTTCTACGGTGCATCACCCTGATACTACATCGTTTTGTATCGTCACAGACTACTTTCTACGGTGCATCACCCTCTCTCCTCTGGATGCGCTACGCTCTCTCGGCTTGGAGCAGTCTCTGACTCACCACCCCCCCTCCTCTCCTGCCCTCCTCCTCTCCTGCCCTCCTCCACTCCCACCCTCCTCCTCTGCTGCCGCCATACTCCTCCCCTCCCGCCATCTGCCTCCCCTGCTTCACTACCCACCACACACTCGCTCTACCACATCCGCCCATCGGTGAGTACCAATACAAACTTAGAAGTTGTATATGTATGCATTATTTTCTATAGAAATGGCAATGATTTTCTGTATAGGTAATGTTTTTCATGGGGCAAAGGGAGGCTCAGGAACGTAACTCCCGTATTTTATCTATTTCTATAGGGGAAAATTGATCCGCTTAACATTGTTTCGTATAAAGTTGCGATTTTAGGAACGTAACCCCGACGTTAAGCGAGGACTTACTGTATTATTACCTGACCTCGGTTGGTCCAGCAAAATGGATAATCCGGCAAGGCTTGGGAACCAAGGGTGCCGGAAAATCGGCGGTGTACCTATACTATACACAGCAGAGGCTAAATTGATACACAGCAGAGGTTAAATTGACAGTGAAAATATACAATGAATAATGTAAAAAGTTTACCTTTTCAAGATTTTTTAAGCAAATTTGAGTAGTGTACATGGAGAGAAAATGAAGATGACATTACCCTCAATGCACTGCAATAATAATAATAATAATAATAATAATAATAATAATAATAATAATAATAATAACAACAATAATAATAATAGCTAGTCTTTTGTTTCTCAAAAGTGTCAGTTCTTTAAAAAAAAAGCTCACTCTTGTAGCACTCAAAACACTACAATGTCAAAGAGTTGAGAATAAAAATAAATGCTGTTCGACTTCTATCTTTCACATACCCATAAGTTTTAATATTTCCAAGTATTATGATATTTGTTATATTTTATGATAACTGTTTTGCCCCTAAATTGCATAAATTAAAATTTTTAGCTCCTTGAAAATTCAGAAATACTGAACTGTACTAGCGGTCGGAGGTCAAGAATTGAAAATTGGTGTAATTTACTAAATTATAAATATGAGAAATTTGTGAATCCAGAAACTGAATAGCGAGGGGAAACTATAGTGGTCCCTCGACTAACGAACACAATTGGTTCCACAGAGTCGGTTGTTAACCGAAAATTTTGTTAACTGAATCTATTATTTCAATGGGATATTGGGTAATTGGTTCCAACTCACAGAAAAAGTATACATACAAAGTACTGTATACCTGTAATAGAATTAACAAAACATTAAATATAAACTAAATACAGCACTGTACTGTACAGTAATAAATAAAAAACAATAGAATACTGTATTTTAACTTACTTTGAGGTGTGTACCGTATATACTCGTCTATAATCCCCCCTCGTTTATAGGTCGACCCTGATTTTTTGACCAAGAAATCGTTAATTTAAGATATTCCTTGTTTATAGGTCGACCCAAGTTTTTGAGGGTAATGGAACAACAAAACCTTCAGTAAAAACGCTCTACGTCCTATAAACTGAGGCTCACCGTGCCTGAAACACCGAGTGCCGAAGGCAAATTGTTTACCAGTTATTATTACGACACTTTACTCTGAAACGCGGGTAGTTTCAACAAAAATATTGTATATCTCCATTCAAGTATTTATTCAAGTCAATTAGGAGGGAATATTATTGTAATACATGTACAACAGTTTTTTAACTGAAAACCATTCGAAAAGCGATTACGGTAACATCTTTTGAACGAAAGAAAGCGAAAGTCATTGTTTTCGTCACGATTTTATCCCACTTTCCACTCTAATACGTACGACATTTCAGCAAAAATATTACATTTCCGTGAATGTATTATATCAAGCACAGTATGAATAGAACATCATTGTAATATAACAGAATTTTAACCGAAAACTATTAAAAAAACGAGTAACATCTCAAGAACACCGGGAGCTTAGGTAAAGTCTTTTGTTTTCGTCATGTATTTTATCCCATTTTACATTTAAATACATCACGTTTCAGCAAAACTACTATTTATTTCTGAGAATATATTCATTCAGGCACAGTTTAGGTAAAATATACATGTGATGTAACAGTTTTTTAACTGAAAACGATTCGAAAAACACGTACCCTCTAGCCCTGTTCAAGGAGAGGACTGGGAGTAGCTGTTTGCTGCTGATGACAAGGAAAATGATTTTGATGGATTTTAATGAAAATATTCAGAAATATGGTATCGTAGTATTTATTCAAGTGAATTAGGAAAGAATATTATTGTAATACAACAGTTTTTTAACTGAAAGCCATTCGAAAAGCGATTACGGTAACATCTTTTGAACGAAAAAAGCGAAAGTCATTGTTTTCCTCACGATTTTATCCCACTTTCCACTGTAATACGTACGTCATTTCAGCAAAAACATTACATTTCCGTGAATGCATTATATCAAGCACAGTATGAATAGAATATCATTGTAATATAACAGTATTTTAACCGAAAACTATTAAAAAAACGAGTAACATCTCTTGAACATCGGAAGGTTAGATAAAATCTTTTGTTTTCGTCATGTGTTTTATCCTATTTTACATTAAAATACATCACATTTCAGCAAAACTACTATTTATTTCCGAGAAGATATTCATTCAGGCACAGTTAAGGTAAAATATACATGTGATGTAACAGTTTTTTAACTGAAAACGATTCGAAAAACACGTGTACCGTCTAGCTGATACTCAACAGCTGGTGGTGCGTCATGCGTCATTGTAAACAATAGGAGGTTGAAGTAGATTACCGGGTATTATATTAAGTGTGAAATATCGAAAAGGTTTTTCTTACCGGTATTTTTTGTAGATCAATGAGACTGTGATACCGTATATGATATGATAAGTTAACCTGTGCTAAGAACTTCAACATAGACTACTGAAAGCACGTTGTAAGGTAATTTAGCCTATTGTAAGTTGGTGAGCTTCATCTGCTGAAGGAACTGCATAACTTTTCATTACTAATTGGTACATATTTTACGTTTCCATTGTTTACTGGCAGTAAATGGTAAATATTTTTCATGTCTGAAGCTAAAAGTTGCTCCTCGCCCTTCCCATCATGCACGGGTTCAACCTAACAAAACTATTACACATGTAGAGGTCGACCCCCAATTTTTTTGCCTAAAAATTTGGTTTTAAAAACTCGAACTACACACGAATATATACGGTATGTCATATTCCCAGAAGCTTACAGCTGATTGAAGAGGCAGTCAATGATGACATGCCATATTCTTTACAGAGTGCATTGGTTCTAATGCCTTCTTCATGTTTCATAATAATTTCTGCACTGTATATTATCAATTTGTTAACTAAATTTCAGAATGACCAATAATTTTAATGTAAAACTGCAAAAATATTCAAGAGACAAACAAACTCGATGTTCACTAAATTTCAGAATGATCAATAATTTTAATATAAAAAATGCAAAAATATTCAAGAGCACAACTTTCTTGATATTTACTCCACTGGAAACGAATGTAAACATAGAATCAATTTCTGTATTGGTGAACTAGCCAATCAGCTGATGCGCACAACAAAGCATGTTTCTCGTAAGGCTGTCGTTAATCAAAGTTTGTTCGTTAATGGAACTGAAAATCCTTATGGGAGCTAATTCGTTAACCGAAATTTCGTGAATTGAACCGTTCGTTAATCGAGGAACCACTGTACTGTATTAGTGAAGTATCATTACAGACTAAGCACGTCTACAAGTTTCAGTAATTAAATATGAAGTCCATTTGTTGATTAGGCACCTTTTTTGGCTTTGCTTAGCTAATCCAGTTTTGAAAAGCAGTCATCTATTTTGGCATACTAAGTCATTCCTGTGAAATACTGTCATGCTGTCTTCAACTTATAATCACAACCTTTCATAAAAAATAAATTCTATAGTCATACTTGTCGACTTAAGAAGGTCATGGAGGAGCGGTTAACCCATGCAAAATTTGCGGCTGCAGCCATGGATTTCAGGTAATCTTGTCCTTCTTTAGACTTGATCCGAGCACAAGCTAACTGTCGATCATTAGTTTCAATATCATCTCTCTTCATTGCTTTCTCCATTGCAACAAGAGCATCTGAAAAATATATATATATATACAGTATATAATAATGATTTTATGTGTCAAATATTTATTAATTTCACCCAACATAAAATAGAACTTCCACGTCTCAGCCAATATTTTCATGAATGAAATATTTATGGGAATACAATACACATTAATTACTGATCCTAAATACTGTATCCCATTTTGCAACAATAAGAGGATAATTTGTACAACTATCCTGTAGCAACTGTAGCCCTCAGAGAGAGAGAGAGAGAGGACTGGGAAGCAAAGTTACCACTTAAATGTAGAGAGCCACATGAGACTTGTTGTTAAAGTAGCTAGTACTATGTAACCCTCCCTTGCCCATCAACAAATAACTTGGATTTTCTGGTAAACAAGCCTAATTAACTGGAATTTTCCAGCACAGGAGCAAAGTCCAGTTGAACTTCACAATAAGCATGTAAGGAGGGAGGGTGGGTTCTAAGCCCTCCTTGTCCTGACTTGGCTATACAATAGGATTTCACGGATCAATCAAGCTTTGACACCTTTATAGTTACACAGTACTGTACATCATACTGTCAACGTCTCTCATGCATGTGCTTTGTGATGTCAACATCACGCCATTCTTTGCTAACCAACACCACTACTTTTTTCTTAGATTATTATTACCTTTAACCATATACTGTACACAATTATCAATAAAAATAATGTTCTTAAAAAAAACATTTTCACCTTTTAAAAATAATGATATGCATTTAGGCATTTTTTTTTTACAAATATATGGAACACAGTTTATAAATGCATAACAGTTTTAAAAATTGACACTAAAATCTTGGCAGCCTGCTGGCTTATCACAGCCTTTATTGCAGACCATTCTTCTGACTTAACACAACCATAGGGTTAATAATGTGATAAAAGGAAAATTGTGTGACTTTTTAAGTCAGAAAGTAGAGGTATTTGACAAGCAGTCATTATGACATCAACCAGTTGACTGTATATTAATCCAGAAAACTGAACAAAACATACAGGCTATTGTGACAGTAAGTACCTTGTAGTGTGCAAAAGTATCATTTGTGATTCAAAATCCCAAAATCAATAATGTTTTTGGAAAAAGCCTTAAGCCTGTGGATCAAAGATCAAATGCAGAAAAAATTGCCCCTGAATGGTCAGGCCATATGGAAGTTCACCCACATAAGCATCTTAAGGTAAACATGCCAAAGGTAGTAAAATAATTTTTCCTTCTTCATAGTCGGAAAAATTAGTAAGAGTACGTACTGTACTGTACAGTATATGAAAGAACTCAAAAACACTGAACCTCCCCCCCCAAAAATATAAGACCTGTATCAACCACCCAGTTAAGGATATACCGTACTGTAGTTTTAACAATAAAAACATATATGTACACACAGACTGGTATATATATATATTACCAAATTTAAATACAGTATAATCTTTTATTAACTACAGTAAAACATGAGAAACATTATACTGTACAATCTTTCGCATATCTTGCTCACCTGTAGCAACCTGATGTCCAAAACCCCGAGATCCAGAGTGAATCATGACACACACTTGCCCTTTTTCTTCAATTCCCATTTTGCAGGCTGCCCATTTGTCATAAATTTCTTCCACCACTTGAATTTCTGCATAGTGGTTTCCTGCTCCCAGTGTGCCCAGCTACAAAGAAATGCATAACAAAGATATTATTCAATTTATGAAATCATATTAATGTGGTTTAGTAGGGAAAAGAACATGATCTTAAGACACACCATACAAATCAAGTTGGTAATGCCTTTTAATTCTCAAATGCAGTTATCAACAACTCAGTTTTTCAATATGGCCACTGTAATCATTGGGATCATACTTGTTACTAAAGCTCAAACCTTTGAAAGTCTCACTTAAATGCCATAACCCCAACCATGATATCTCTTGGAGGATACAAACCTGCTCACCCTTCCTCATACGGAAGAATGTGAAAAAGTTCAAGAGTAGGATGGGCAGGTCCGGTTTCACTTTTTATTTTAACCTAGTCTTCAAAATGAATTTCACAAGCTCAACTCTGTGGTTCATGTGACATTCTAAATGCAACACAAACCAACATTATTGGTTGTGGTAGGAATAATTTTCAGGAAGACACTTGACTAGATTAAGTAACTGACAAACTAGGAATAAGAGTTGGTGAAGTCTTTATTATTTTTTTCCTGGTACCAAATCAAATGGCACTCAGCCTCCATTCTGAAATACCAGTGTTATTATGCAGTCATCAAAATAATATAGTAAATGGTATCTTCTTAATTAAATTTTTATGGAAATGAGAAAACCAAGTAATTTGAACAACTATAGGTACTGATAAAGTATGGATATTGCCAAAGAATAATGACAAAAACTAAGTTTTACCAGACCATGCAAGTGATTGTGACCCAAAACATGGCTAAAAACAGTTTGAAAAGAGATTGAAAGAATCAACACTAAAGGTACCAGTATTTGACATAATAGTTTATTTGTCAAGTATGGTTTAAGACTGAGAGGAGCTAATGAATTTGGCTTAGTTCATATTCTGCTGCTATTGTACAAGGTTATTCCCTCACTCGCTGCTGTTTTTGCATACAATCATCCAAGAATACAGTGTTAAGACATAGTGATTACTGTGGTAGTAGGCAGCTATCAAACAGGGAGGTACTACCACCTGGGAAGATATTGGAAGCGTACTGTGTTGTCTAATGGTAGACCCTGCTGCCATATGGCATCACGAAAATTGTGACCAAGTCCCAGGTTGCTGACCTATCTTTCTGCCTCATTTACACACAACTGTAGGGTTTCAATTGTTTCTCTTACATGACAACACAACATACATATAGCATTTCCAACTACAGTGTTGATTTTTTTCATTCTTGTATTTCTTAGTATATATTATTATTATTATTATCACAGTGTTGTTATTATTATTATTATCATTAATATTTTAGTTTACTTTTTAATATAAATTTTATTTACTATGAATTATTATTATTATGATTACATTTTCATCCACCGGGCCCCAATATGGGTCAGTGATCCTGTGCCCGGGTGGGCTAATCCCCGTGTAAAAAAAAAAAAAAAAAATATCGCACACACACACACACAGAAGTAGGCTTTTCACTTACCTGGGGCAAACCCCTCTTCTTTGCCCGCATGGAAACTTTGGCTGGGTCTGCTTGTGCCATACGTCCATACTCCTCACAATGCTCCTTATCTTCTGCCCAGATATATCCTGTGGAGTTTGTAGTGTAGTTATGTAATCAATGCTTATTCATTATTACTAAAGGGATTTCACCTACAATTATAAACTTCCCTTATGCCAGACAAATTCTTATTTCCATTCATAAATACTTGGTACAGTATACTGTACAGTACAGTATATCAATGCAGCCCTTCAATGTATTTTCTCAAATTCCTCACCACAGCAATAGCAAAGATTTTTCAAATGATAATCAATAATTATATTCTTCAACACCTTAAACATCACAATTTACTCAGCAAATGGCAGGAAGGCTTCCATGGAGGGTACTCCATCATTCCTTAGAACCATCAATCAATAGTCTGCAATAGGCAAAGTCCATTCTGTAGCTCTTGAATTTCCAATGCAATTGACAGTTTGGAATCATTCATTACTTGCAAAATTGCTGTCTGGCCTTTCTTCCCTAGTCTATTTAATTTTTTCTTCTCTAGCTTACTGCCAAGTATGTGCAGTTTGAATGATTTTTTCTCTTTATTTCACTATCATGTTCAGAGTCAAAGCCTACTTCACCAATGATCAGTTAGCAACCATTTATATAAGCAATGTGTGCTTCCAGATGGACTACTGCCATCCACTTTGCCTTCTTGATTCAATACAAAAAATAGTCCTCAAAACAATCAACATTAATGACTTTCAATAAAATTTCCAGCACTGCCCTTTGCAGGGATATCTCAATACTTCCCTAGTCTACTAATCTTGCCATAACCACACTCTCTCCATCAGCCTATGAGGATATTTAGGAGGGTCCATGTCTTTTCACCGATAATCTTCATTTTCTGCCAAATAAAACACATTGAAACCCTGGGCTAACCCTCTGTGAAACAGCCTTCTAAAAATTTCTTGGGCATACTATATACAAAAAACAGTATTACAGTACCGTAACACTGTACAGTACAGGGGTATAAGGAAGCTGAACAGTAAAGCCTCCGATAACGACGGTTCAACTAACGAAAATTCATACCTTGGTTAATTTAGGACCCAATTCAATTTACATAATTATTTTCTTTGTATTTATGACAAAACTAAAAAAATATATATTACATTTTTGTATAAATAATGACCAAATCCTGATATTATATAACAAAAAAAACACGCCTTGCGCAAGGAGGATGCCGGGCTTGTTAGTGGTGACGCCACCATCACTAGTACACTGTACAAACAATCGCAGCTGGCGGGCCCTTTGTTTTCAAGCATCTGAACAGGAAAAGGAGAAAAACTTTCTCAGGTTTCTTACAGCATTTTGCATCCCTATTCAACATGAGCAAGAGAGCAAGTGATGGTAGTGTTGTTTCAAAAGCTAATAGAAAGTGTATTTACTTAACCGAGAAACTAGAAGTGTTAAAAAGATATGAAAAAGGTGAGAGGTTTGTGGATATTATATGGAGCAAGCAATGAACATATTTTCAGAAGTGGATCCATTAACAGAACAAAGCATTAAAATTTAAATAAATGCAAATGACCTACATAAAGATGTATAATGAGAAAATCAAGCAGCAGTGCAAGGTTCTTTCGACAGCTTTATTATTCGAAGGCCTAAACCATCAACTTCAGCTACACCATCAAATTCAGCATCATAAGCAGCTTCAACAACAACTTCAGGTTCAGTAACAGTTTCAGCAACAGCTTATGGAAAGCTACAGCTTCAGCCAGAGTTGAACCTACAGCTTCAGCCAGAGTTGAACCTACAGCTTCAGCCAGAGTTGAACCTACAGCTTCAGCCAGAGTTGAACCTGATGACTTTTCTCATCTGAGTAAAAACTCGCACAACATCATTGACTGTCCTTATGTTTTAAACTATACCACTATTGGCAAGTAGAATTTTTGTTTTACATCCATAAGTATTATTTAAAACATATATGGACAGTAAATAAGTGTTGCTTTCATATTCATATGTAGAAAAATGACGATATATTTTTACATGTACGCACTTACTGTCCATATGTTGGCGTTCCCAATCGTCTCGCTTTATTTCTTTACCATTAGTGGTTAGCTACTTCTAGTGTTCCATTTATTAACATTTAATAACATTAATTAAAACATACATACAGGTAATAAATTTTTTTACATTAAGTTCACTGCAGCTACAACCAGGGTCTTATTTTCTTCAGTTTCTTATGTAGAACCATCGTCACTCATGAAAACAATGCCATCTTGTCTCCTCTTGTGTGTTTTAATATTCTACGTACATGTATTATTAATGAATTGCATTGTTCATTATATATATATATATATATATATATATATATATATATATATATATATATATATATATATATATATATATATATATATATATATATATATATATATATATATATATATATATATATATATAAATATATATATATATATATATATATATAAATATATATATATATATATATATATAAATATATATATATATATACAGTGGTACCCCACTTAACGCGGTCAATTGAACCCAGAGGGTCCCGCGTTAAGTGAAAACCCCGTTAAGTGAATAACAGAACATATGGGATTAATTCCAATAGAACCCAGCCCGACCCCCAAACTCCACTTTTTGACGACAAATAACTATGTTGTAGTAAAAATAACATCTTAATTTTATGATGGTACATGCACACAATTAATACTTAAGAGAAATAGAGAAATACAGTCGCCAAGTTAATGTCCATTCAAATAATGGACTCAACTCCCTCCCCCTCTTCTCACACTACACTCACTGGCTCTTCCCTCTGAGAAATTTTTGGGGGAAAACCAGGTATAGTAATAAATAATTCCTCAAACTAAAGTTAGGATAATATAATTGACATTGCTGGATTCCTTGTAAGACCAGGAATATTTTGAATATAAATGTCATATATTTTTCACAAAGATAACATATTTACCTAGAGAACAATTTTTATCTAAAAATTGTATGTTTAATGCAAAATATATGTTGTTTAATTCAATGATCAAAATTATAAGAATTCCAGCAATGTAAAAATTCTGGTCGAAAACAAACAAAACTCAGCTCCACACCTGTCGATCAGTACCCCACCTGCCTCCAACCGCACAGTCTCACTCCCCACCCCCCCACCAACCTCCATCTGAGTTTTTAACATTAGTATAAATAAACAAAAAACAAAATTTTGAATAAAATCCATATTTTGACAAAGATATTATAATATTTGAGAATATTTATTATCTAAAATTGTATGTTTAATGCAAAATATATGTTGTTTATATTCAATGATCATCAATTATAAGAATTCAGCAATGTAAATTATATTTTGTTGTAGAGCTTTAGGCGAATTCTTATGAGCTAAAACAGAGCAAAAGGGTGGCGGTGTTAATCCAAAAATAGCCTGAGCCTACACTCACCACAGATATGATGAAAAATGCTATGTAGAAAGCAGTTTTAAAAGGCACCACAGACAAAAACTGCTAAGGAAAGCGCTAAGCGGGTACTATTGTATATATATATATATATATATATATATATATATATATATATATATATATATATATATATATATATATATATATATATATATATATATATAATATATATATATATATATATATATATAAATATATATATATATATATATATATATATATATATATATATATATATATATATATATATATATATATATATATATATATATATATATATATATATATATATATATATATATATATATATATATATATATATATATATATATATATATATATATATATATATATATATATATATATATATATATATATATATATATATATATATATATATATATATATATATATATATACAGTTTTACCCAGCCTAACGCGGTTTCACTTAACGCGTTTTCGCATATACGCGGTGCCTTGCCAAAGCTGAACTTTCACTTAACGCGGATTTTTACCACATATACGCGGTGAGTGTCCGAGACGCTATTTTTAGATTTGCCCCACCCGCCACCCTGCCTGACTGCCTGTTTTAGCTCATAAAATTCATACAAATTACCAGGCCAGAATATAATTTACATTGCTGGAATTCTTATAATTTGGTGATCATTTTGAATATAAACATCATATATTTTGCTTTAAACTTACAATTTTTAGATAAAAATTTTTCTCTAGGTAACTATGGTATCTTTTGTGCAAAATATATGACATTTATATTCAAAATATTCCTGGTCTTACAAGGAATCCAGCAATGTCAATTATATTATCCTAACTTTAGTTTGAGGTATTATTTATTAAAATTTAGTGGTTATCCCACACATCTCCTTGGGACGGTTGGTGGGGGGTGGGGGGGAGGGAGGGACCGACCGACCATCTGTTACCCTGTGAAGAATTTTTTTTTTTATTAACTGAAGATATTTGTTTTAGCTCATAAAATTCATACAAATTACCCGGTCTGAATATAATTTACATTGCTGGAATTCTTATAATTTGATGATCATTTTGAATATAAACATCATATATTTTGCATTAGACATACAAATTTTAGATAAAAATTTTTCTCAAATTAACTATGTTATCTTTTGTGCAAAATATATGACATTTATATTCAAAATATTCCTGGTCTTACAAGGAATCCAGCAATGTCAATTATATTATCCTAACTTTAATCTGAGGTATTATTTAATACTAAATGTTAAAAACTCTGGAAGGGAGGATTGGTGGGGGGTGGGGGGGAGGGTTGGGACTGACCGCGCGGTTGGAAGAGGGGGGGAGGCAAGGTGGGGTACTTTGATTGACAGATAGTGTCGTGAAGATTATTTTTTTTTTTATTAACTGAAGATATTTGTTTTAGCTCATAAAATTCATACAAATTACCCGGTCAGAATATAATTTACATTGCTGGAATTCTTATAATTTGGTGATCATTTTGAATATAAACATCATATATTTTGCTTTAAACTTACAATTTTTAGATAAAAATTTTTCTCTAGGTAACTATGTTATCTTTTGTGCAAAATATATGACATTTATATTCAAAATATTCCTGGTCTTACAAGGAATCCAGCAATGTCAATTATATTTTCCTAACTTTAGTTTGAGGTTATCCCACACATCTCCTTGGGACGGTTGGTGGGGGGTGGGGGGGGGAGGGAGGGACCGACCGACCATCTGTTAGCCGGCTGTGTAGTGTGAGAGGGGGAGGGAGTTGAGTCCATTATTTGAATGGACATTAACTTGGCGACTGTATTTCTCTATTTCTCTTAAGTATTAATTGTGTGCATGTACCATCATAAAATTAAGATGTTATTTTTACTACAACATAGGTATGTGCCTTCAAAAAGTGGAGTTTGGGGGTCGGGCCGGTTTCTATTGGAATTAATCCCATATGTTCTGTTGTTCACTTAACGCGGATTTCACTTAACGCGGGACCCTCTGGGTTCAATTGACCGCGTTAAGTGGGGTACAACTGTATATATAAATTTTTTTTTTTTTTTTTTTCACCCAAGCAACCTGGGAGAATATAATTTACATTGCTGGGATTCTTGTAAGATAGTGATTAATTTGAATATAAACAAGCTATAATTGCAAGAGACAACAATTTTAGTACCGTAATCATTTAGTACATGTACAGTACAGGTTTGCACTTAGGTCACTTATTTCTTTTACGTTTCTTTTAGTATGGTGTGTGCATGTAAATGAATGAAAATAAATGAAGTGGTCCCTTAATAACCAAGGGACCAGTGTATTGCAGTGTACTGTACTTGTACTGTACAATACTTTTTACTACAACGTATGTATTGTATCGGAAAATGGGTAGTCTGAGGGTCGGCCCACTCTCTATTTCAATTAATCCCATGTGTTCTGTTATTTCGTTTACGTGTTTCTCGTTTTACGCGGACCTACACGGGTTTAATTGATGGCGTAAACCGATACTAAACTGTATACACACACACACACACACACACAGTGGTCCCTATGTTAACGAAATTTCGGTTAACGAATTACCTTCCATAAGAATCTTCAATTCGGTTAACAAACAAAAATTTGATTTATGAAACCCTTACAAAAATCACGTTTTGTTGTGAGCATCAGCTGATGGGCTACTCTGCCAATTCAGTAATCTGTTCTATGTTTACATTCGTTTCCAATTGAGTAAATATCAAGAATGTTGTGCTCTTTAATATTTTTGCATGTTTTATATTAAAGTTATTAGTCATTTTAGCAATTATTTAACATTTTGACAATATTATTGCAGTACAGGGAACTAGTTTATTGTGCGCCCATCAGATGAGTGAGTCGGTTACAAGGCGTCAGTTGGGCTTTGAAAACAGTGGAGAGCATCTATTTTGTTGGTGTCTTGAAAATTTTTGCATTTTTCATTGAAATTATTGGTCATGCTGAACTTTAATTAACATATTGATAATATGTAGTGCAGTGCAGCATTGATTTAAAGAAAATAATCTTGAATTACACCTAGTGAACTTAAAACTTTACTGGTGAAATTACTGCATCAATCATGGGTCCCCTGAAAGGTGATTTCTCCTCCATCCCCACTTCTTTCTCTTCTCCCTTCTCCTCCACCCCTACTTCTCATTCCCATCATCATCATCAACCAGGAACCTTCTACATACACACCTCAAAGTAAGTGTACTTTACTGCATTTTTTTTTACTTTGTATGTACTTTTCTGTGAGCTGGAACCAATTACCCAATATCCCATTGAAACAAGATTCAGTTAACAAAATTTTTGGTTAAAGAACGACTCTGTGGAACGAATTGTGTTTGTTAACCGAGGGACCACTGCATATTTTGCTATTTGTGGTTATGCCAATTCACGGCATTCCTTGAAACCTAACCCCCGCAAATAGCAAAGGCTTAATGTACAGTATGTGAAACTTGCCACTGGCAGGGGAAGATGTACAGAATTTGTTTCTCTCCCGTAAATGTTCTTTGTGGCAGATTCCCTCCACCTGGGAACCAGTAGTTGTTACAGGACAGCTTTAGGAGTAGGAGCTGAATTTGGTAAAAGGTGTAAACCCTTAAACACACTCACACACTATGATGCAATCCTGAGTCAATCCAAATCTCGTCCAATTGGCACCATGAATTTAGTAATTCCAATTAACATATGAGATTTGGGCAAGTCACTAAGTCACTCCTTGAACCATTATCTCACGATAATCCAACACTAATTAGATACAGTACCCCTGTATATGGCGACCCCTAGAATGTGCTGAGCACTTTCCCCTTAAAATTTCTGCCACTATCGCTCTTACACACTCCTGCCTTCCATCGTGCAGTAATATAAGTAATACAGTAAAACCTCGATTAACCGACTTTCGGATTAACCGTCAATCCCGAACTCCTAAATTTTTTTTTTTTCGGGGATTAGCCCACCCGGGCAAAGGTCACTGACCCACATTGGGGCCAGGGGGGCGATAATGTAATAATATTATTAATGATAATGATAATAGTAATAAAGAACCATAAATAAATGCAAAAATGAAAAAAAAATCAAGGATGAGAAACAATATATGTATGTTGTGTTGTCAATAGTAAGAGAAGCAATTGAGACCCTGCAATTGTGCGTAAATGAGACTTGGTCACAATTTTTGTGATGACATGTTCTTTGACTTTTCCATTTTTTATTCACGGTTTCTGTGCTGGTTCATATTTATTTACTAAAGTGGTTAATGTTTTAAAGCCAATTCTATTGAAATATGAATGGCAAATGAACAAAAAAAAAAAAAAAGGGAATTAAATGAGGTAGGTTAGGGAAAGGTACTTTATGTACTATTAACCACCCTTTCGGATTATCCGTTGGCCCCTTCCCCCCATATGTGGTCGGTTAATCGAGGTTTTACTGTATCTCCATCAGCCAGGATTCCTCAAATCCCGAACTCTCCGATAGCCAGAATTGAAATTTTCTCGGAAAATCATTCCTAAAGCCAGAATTTTCCGGAAAATTTTGACTTTGGGAACGATTTTCCAAGGGGCACATTTTCCGGAAATTCCGAGAGAATGTTTCCGGTGCCTGGAAAATTCCGGGTTTAACTGCCGAATGGTTCGACAGTTAGAGGACGTCACGTTAAGGGCGAGAGAAACCCGCAATGTGGACTCACTCAACGCTTATTGATTGATATGGACAAAACCTGGAGAAGTGAGACTTGTTAACTACTGATTATATTCCATCACATATATACATTATACGTCAGTTAGTAAATACACAATTCTGTAAGGTTATTATCCAAATTGCCTTACACTATGCACGTATGTAGTTCACAACATTTCACCATAATACAAACAATCACTATGTTCTTTCACTCACGTGTGCAGGCTTATAGCTCCACTTAACTCCTAGTATCGCTCCAAGTAACTCCTAGTTATAGCTAGTGTGTGTACATTCGATGGGGTTAGACAATACTGTGTGCCAGAGGTGTCCCGAGCCCCGATCTATGGTCATAACAACAAAACACTTGTTCTATGGCTCCGTCGATTACAAGCATCTGGCGAGTTCACAGGTCGCAAAGCCACATGGGAGTCAGAGGTCATGGCGTACGAGGGCGGCGATAACACCGCGGATGGGGGAAATTTTTCTGGGTTTGAGAGATGCACTGCCGGTAATGTATATTTCTGGAACTTCCGAGAAAATTTTTCCGTTACCCGGAAAATTCCTGGGATGAGGGATTTTTTTTCCGGCTTTGAGAGAGTCGTCTCGTTACCCGGAAATCTCTCATTCAGGGAAGTGCTCTACACCAATCGTTCCGGCTAACGGAGATATCACTGTATTCATCTTTAAAACTGTTTGTAAAGTATCTCGCAGTTTTTAATTTGTTTCTATATTTCGTTTTCAATATCTCACTTATTGAAACTTGTAACTGTTGTTTGTGTGTGAATTGTTGGGATGGATGTTTTATTCTAAATTCACTTACAGCCACACCGTACATGCTACCAAATTCTAAAATCACCATAACACACCTAGATACTTATACAAACCAATGGAATAAAAAAAATAAAATGTAAAAAAAAAAAGTACAGAAATGGGTAAAAACTAAAATAAAGTAAAGAATTTTGGAATAAATTTGCAAGAATGTATACAGGGTATTCCTGTTTTTAATTATTTTAATTTATCAGCCTTATTATTACTCATATCCAATTTCTGATTTCACCAATGTAAAGCATAAAGATATTCCAATTATGGTTTACTCTTTTTTTTGGGTGGGGGAGATAATACAAGTTTTTGTGTTGAAAACTATACTGTAATGCATAACTTCACATCATCAAAAATATTTCATCTTTCTTTTCTCTTAAATTGTTCATTGTTTTATGTAAATGAGGAACCAAATTTACATAGAATGTAATTGGCTTCATAAAAAAAAAAATAAGTAAACCAGTTGCCAAAAAAAAAAAATGAGGCTCTTCCGTGCCAGAAGGTCACAACTGTTTTGGAGGGGATGATGTTAATGAACCGTTTGAGAATATGTACAGAAAACCAAATCAAACTTTTCATCCAAATGAATCAAGGTTTGACCTTGATTAAATTGGGTGAAAAGGCTGCTTACAGGAAAAAATAAATAAATTATTTGAATAGTTAATATATTCTGAACCTAAAGAATATGTGCCCATGGGCAATGGCGAGATCTGTCAGAGATACTTGGTGGTGGCGCCTCTCACATGAACTTATAGAGATAACAAGGCAATAAATAAAGGTGTTCAGCTCCTGGCCTACAGAATCTCCTCAGTAATTCACACACTGTACTGCACTAATCCAAAATTTCAATGTTACAAAATAATAACAAATACAGGGTTTTTTTACAGCAGGTTTAATACTGTACATACCTTCTCTAAGTGACCAATCCATGCCCATCTCAAGTGCTTCCTCTAAATCACGAGCTGTCATAGGGATGATCCCCTTTGATCCAACACCAACAGGGATGTGGTCAAACATGGACTGGGCTAACTGCTCCTGTAATATGACAAGACCAGTGTATTAAGGAAAACAAGTGTGTATGATGGCATGCATTTTCAGCAATAGGGGTCAAGCTAATTACAGGGGATCCCCGGGTTACTAACGAGTTTCGTCCCTGACGATGTTCTCAAGTCAAAAATGTACCAACTCGGAACACATACCCTATGTACACCATATCATAGCCTAAGTCCTTTTATATAATGTATCTTGAATCACTTAATTTAAGAGAAAGAAGAAACTAAATGACAAAATTCAGTAAAGGAAGTTTAACACTTACAATGAAACCTCAGACTGGCTTGCATGTAGAGATGGGCATTTCTAGGAGTGACAGAGGCTTTATTGGGATGATTGAACTGAAACTTTTTTCTTTTCGTCAAAAATCTCTGTAGCATCATAGATATTCAGTAATACCTCAGTGAATCTTGGTAATTTTGCTGTGTTGGTATCTTGCTGTTGAAATTTAAACACTCCTCCTTTAATAAGCCTCAAACCATCTGCCATTTCTTTTGTAATGAATCCCTTTGATTCTGGAGTTTCAGCTTCCTCTACATCCTATGACAAAATTTGCTTCTCCAGTTCAATCAGGTCCTCATTGCCTAATTCCTCAGCATGAGACTCGAGCAACTGTGTGACATCATCCTCATGAATATAAAGCTGGAGTTGGTTCCCAAGGTCTACCATGGTCTGTGTCACTTCCCAACATTATTTTCAAAGCCCCCTGAAATTATGGACAAACTGTGGGCAGTGTTTTTCCCAGACACCATTTGCACTTACCTTGAACCAGTTAAACCAGCCCCTACTAGCAACAAAATCTTCTCCATGACTTTCACCACCAAGTTTAGCCTTCAAGACAGCGTGCAGGTTTCTTGCTTTTTCCTGAATCAAGGCTAGACTTGGAGACAAATCCTATTGATTTTGATCTTCCACCCTTTTCACTAAAAATCTTTCAATTTCAATTAACAATCCATTTCTTTGTTTTGTTATCATCACAGTTGAGTACATTGGTGTAAATCCTTTTATATATTCATGAATTTTCCGTTTGTCTTTCAAATTGTTCCGACCGTTGACCGACTGATACTTTACCAATCACTGAGGATGTTTCGCCTTTTTCAGAACGTTTAATTACACCAACTTTCACTTCCATTGTACTTGTTTTCCTTTTCTTGGATGCACTGCTATCACATGCATCAAGTTTGTGTTTGGGAGCCATGATGAGGGCCGAAAAGGAAAATTAATAAACAAAAACAACAGGTTGCACTTGGTCATGCACATTAAGGCAGTGAGGGTAAAGTGTACTGACGCTCCCTCAAGGCACGTGGCTGGGTGACTCATTACTCCCCACGTGCCACTCTGCCTCGCCACAAGGCCACACAAACTAGTTCTCGTACGTTAATACTACAAACCAGTTGTACTTTTGGGACCTCGTTCACATCGGCGGCCCACTGATGGCTCCGATTGTTTTCAATTGGACCTATGTCTCTGTCAAGTGGTCTGAATCCTCTCACTTGCCAACAATATAAAACAAAACAAAAATACAACCAATTCACTTAAAAAGTTCCTTTTCAGTAAAATACATCTACATTACAATATAAAAGTAAAATCTTGACAATTAGAAAAAATTGCTAAACATTGTATATAACCAGGCACTCAGTATTAAACACACTCTACATTGTACACGTGTTCTTGAAAAGTGGAATGTTAAGTGAGACAACATACAGTACTGTATAGTGAATACAAGATTATCACAGACCTAATGACATAAGTAGGGGTTACATTCCTGGAGAGCATTTCTGGTCAAAAATTTTCTGTAAACAGTAACAAATTCACCTACCACTTGCATCTCTTTTTTTCCAATCAATTAAATTTATTCTCCCCCCCCCCCCTTGCTTTCATCTCCCTTACTAGTCCAACTATAAATTTATTAAGAACCAAGGCAAAGTTACACACTCTTGAGAAAAAAAAAACAATGCAAGCCTCATGGTACTTGGACTAGGTCAGATAATCATAATTTGGTTACTTGGAAGAAATTGTATGACATGCTGTCGATAACATAACTCAAAAATCAATGTTTCATAATGAAATGAGGCCAACTGCTCCTCTAAAATGTCAACATTACATTAATGTGCCTTAAAATACTGTACCAAAAATTAATTATACCTTAATCGGAAGAACATCAGCTTCAGTAAGGTTGGTGCGCAATAACCGGACTCCACAATTGATGTCAAATCCAACACCACCCGGGGACACAACTGCCTTAGGATTATCCATGTCAAAGGCTGCCATATTACCTGTCCAAAGGAAGCATGACTTCCAATCAAATATGGAAATAGTAAAATTCTTTTGATATGGGAATTATTAAAATACCATATACAGTACTGTATAGTACAGGTAGTTCTGCTATAACGCGATAATTGTGTTCTTGTAAAATATCGTGTTATAGAAAATCGCGTAATAGAAATAACAGGGCTTATGGAGAAAATAGGGTTAGGTGCAGATTACTCGAAATCGAAAAAATTTAGTAGTTAGCCTAACACAAAGGATAGCACAGTCTAAATAAATGTTACATTCATATCTAATAATGAAATCATACAGTAAATTTAACACTTTACCTTGAAAAAATATGAATGTAACTTGATGGGGGAGAAGGGTGATTTTGAGGTTGATAACATCGAGCTTCTCTTCAAGTGTTATATCCTTTCTTTTACGATAATCACCGGGAATTCTATCATCAGAACGCCTTTTGGAGATATTCTTCTTTACCATATTCACAGTTAATACCACAAAATTGGAGAAATAGTAAGCAAAAATCGCGTTATAGCAAACAAGCGTTCGCGTTATACAAATATTGTTCCGAATTCATAAATCGCGTTAGAGCAAATTCGCGTTATCAAAACACGCGTTATAGCAGAACTCACTGTACAATAATTTTACCTATATTTCACCAAGTTATAATAAGTTCAAATTCCATATCATGTAAGCAATGGCAAACTAATACACCATAATAACAGCATTAACCGTCATTTACCAGGTAACTCTTCTTAATTACTGTATTCATGATAAGAGAAAGATTGTGGATATGATTGAGCGTGCCAAAGGACTGTCATTTTGAAGGCTTTGATCTAGTGGTGGCAGAGGCAGTGGTGAAGGAGGAGAGAGGGGAGACACTGGAGGCTTGGGTGGGGGGCAATGGACGGACACAAGCTTAGTGTACATTAAGCACCTCAACTTTAATTTTAAGGTTGGTTTTCTATGTTTATGTTTATTAACTAATTGTTCATTCTCGTTCAGCAATAAAATATAGGTTATATGTAGGTGAAATAGGAAAAAATTCGAGACATTGGGTGACCCCTCACTACCAATTAGGCTTTTTCCCACTGGATTAAGCCCTCTGGTTTGGCAAGGTTTTTTCGGCACCTATTAGTCGCCAAACTGGAGGGTTTATTGTATTGCAATGATTTTTCCACAACTTTTATACTGTATATGATATTCATACTTGACACTGTCATCTGTATACACTGGCTAAGGTACAGTATTTGTACATTCTTCACATCAAATAGAACAAAAAATCTGTTTAAAAAGGAGCATATGCCATGAAGGTGTTTAGTGATCATGAATAGAGCATTTAAAAGAAATGTTATAGTATATAAAACAGTCACTGTAAAAATGTATAGGAAGGCATACCATTATCACTGTAATAACTTACCAATTGCAAAACCATATCCCGAGTGGACATCTGGTAGACCAACAGATTTTCCAACAATGCCAGGAAGTGCAGCAACATTAGCAATCTGCTTCATACCAGGTAAAAAGCCTCCAATTGACCCAGGACGGCAAGCATTCCGTAACTCGTCAAACATTAACTTTTCAAGGTGATCATTCACATAGAATATGCCCTCCACCTGATGGAAAAGAAAATAATTAAATTCTAGTGGATACTTGCACTGCAGCTATAGTATATATACAGTCGGCCCTTAACATACGCGGGGGTTAGGTAACAGAGATACCCGTGAATGTTAAAAATCTGTGTACTTTTGCTGCCCCACCCCCCCCCCAAAACACCCCTGGCCCCCCCCCATGTCCTTATTTACCGTATACAGTGACCCCTCGGTTAACAAACTCAATCCGTTCCAGAAGGTCGTTCGTTAACCTAAAAGTTCGTTAACCGAAACCATTGTTTCAATGGGTTTTTGGGTAATTGGTTCCAGCTCACCGAAAATTTCCTAAATTCAACAAAAATGGTAGAAAAGTTCACTTACTTTGAGGTGTGTATGTAGAAGGCTCCTGGATGATGATGATGATGGGATTTAGAATGGGGGTGGAGGAGAAGGAAGAAGAGAAGGCATTGGGGTGGAAGAGAAGTCACCCCATGGAGCGAAAACAAGTTAAGGTCGGTTCGTAAGAAATTCGTTAACCGAATTTTTGTTCGTTAACCGAATTGAAGATCCTTATGGAAGGCAGTTCGTTAACCGAAATTTCGTTAACCGAGGCGTTCGTTAAACGAGGGGTCACTGTATACCTGTGTGTAGTTCGAGTTTTTAAGACCAAATTATTTGGCAAAAATTGGGGGTCGATCTCTAAACGGGTAATAGTTTCGTTAGGTTGAAAAATATTTTCCAGTAACTACCAGTAAACAATGAAAACGACGCACCACCAGCTGTGAGTGTCGGTACAGTTGCCAGGGCAGATCTCTTGCATCATCATAGCAAGCCCAAAGTAGCCAAATGCATGGTATGGTATGCACAGGACGATGTAAAACAAAGTACTGTATTCACTTTTTAAAGTTTATTTATAGATACTGTACATAAATTTTTGTTCCTTACATTTGAAACATCAATCTTTGTTAATTAAATTTGAAACAAAAGAAAACTACGATACCGTATTTTCATTAAATATTACATCGCAAGTATATTTTACCTTAACTGTGACTGAATGAATATATTCTCAGAAATAAATAAGGAAATGTAATATTTTGGCTGAAATGACGTACATATTACAGTGGAAAGTGGGATAAAATCATGACGAAAACAATGACTTTCGCTTTCTTTCGTTGTTCAAAAGATTTTACCGTAATCGCTTTTCGAATGGTTTTCAGTTAAAAAAACTGTTGAACTGTACTGTATTATAATAATATTCTATCCTATCATTAGCCTCATAATCCCACAACTGAAAACCATTTGAAAAGCGATTACGGTAACATCTTTTGAACGAAAGAAAGCGAAAGTCATTGCTATCGTCACAATTTTATCCCACTTTCCACTGTAATACGTACGTCATTTCAGCAAAAATATTACATTTCCATATTCTCAGAAATAAATAGTAGTTTTGTTGAAACGTAATGTACAGCATTTAATATTAAAAAGGAAAAAAGAGCTATAAAAACAATTAATACTGTACACCCGTAATGTACTGGCTGGCATCTCCACTCGTCCCTACTCCCGCCAGTCACCACTCCTCCCCGCTCTATCCCTCCGCCTCCTCCACATCGTCACTACTGTTGTATTACAATAATATTCTATCCTAATTTACTTGAATAAATACTACGATACAGGTACCATATTTCTGAATATTTTCATTAAAATCCATCAAAATTATTTTCCTTGTCATCAGCACCAAACAGCACCTCCCAATCTACTCCTTGAACAGGGCTAGAGGGTACGTGTTTTTCAAATCATTTTCAGTTAAAAAAATGTTACATCACATGTATATTTTACCTAAACTGCACCAGAATGAATACATTCTCAGAAATAAATAGTAGTTTTGCTGAAATGTGATGTGTTTCAATGTAAAATAGGATAAAATACATGACGAAAACAAAAGACTTTACCTAACCTTCCGATGTTCAAGAGATGTTACTCGTTTTTTTAATAGTTTCGGTTAAAATACTGTTATATTACAATGATATTTTATTCATACTGTGCTTGATATACTAGTCACGGAAATGTAATATTTTTGCTGAAATGATGTAAGTAGTTCAGTGGAAAGTGAGATAAAATGGTGACGAAAACAATGACTTTCGCTTTCTTTCGTTCAAAAGATGTTACCGTAATCGCTTTTCGGATGGTTTTCAGTTAAAAAACTGTTGCATCACAAGTGAATTACGATAGAATATTATTGTAATACAGCAGTTTTTTTAACTGAAAACCATTCGAAAAGAGATTACGGTAACATCTTTTGAACGAAAGAAAGCGAAAGTCATTGCTTTCGTCACTTTCCACTGTAATACGTACGTCATTTCAGCAAAAATATTACATTTCCATATTCTCGGAAATAAATAGTAGTTTTGCTGAAACGTAATGTATTTCAAAGTAAATTAGGATAAACTACATGAAAACAAAAGACTTTACCTAACCTTCCGATGTTCAAGATATGTTACTCATTTTTTTAATAGTTTTCGGTTAAAATACTGTTATATTAGTGATATTCTATTCATACTGTGCTTGATATAATACATTCTCGGAAATGTAATATTTTTGCAACTACAATGCTGATGTCAACACAAGCGTGGTTACAGCGAGACTGACTGAGTGAGGGAGAGCTATGCGTGTGTGTGTGAGGTTGCGGGAGCGGGCGGTGTCCCGTGTTCGGTGCTGCGCGCGAGTTGAATGGCGCTCGATTTGAATGTACAGTACTTCAATGTACAGATTATTCCTCTGGCAGGGCAATCCTCGTATTTGCAAATCTGTGTATGCTAAACCCGCGTATGTTAAGGGCCGACTGTACTTAATATTTTACTTCATAATGTTTGCATCTCTTTGTAAGTTCATGACATCAAGTTAAAGTACAAACTATGAGGTGTAATCCCCAACGAAACATTATTTTTTCACATAATATACAACTAGAGCATATGAAGCTGGTTGTGTTATGAAAATTAATGCACTGTATGGTACTGTGCTGTGCTAGCACTAATAGATACTAAATTACTGTATTATTCATTACAACTGCAATATGTTCTTTCTAAAAATTTGGTAGATATTGGCTAGACTAATGGAAAAATCACAGGAAAGGGAGATGGAGTTAACATTATCATAATGAAATGCTAAGATCTGTATTGGTAGCAGGTAGGTATACAGAGGGTACTGTTCCAACCTGCTGACCTCTTGAGCCGCCCGAGTAAATTTCTTACAAACTTTGTACAACTGATCAAAAACTTTGAAATTTTGGATATTTCCCCCATGCAAAAACTGTATGACTTAGCCGGTACTTTGAATTAGTGGATGCTACATTAGTGAGGTTCAAGTGAATATTAATATCACTCTTTTCATTTGTTGCAATTCATTCATTCTTGCTGCCATTCATTCAGTCTTACTGCCATAACAAATGTATTACATTGGGCATTCTCCATCCAAAATATGGTCCCAAAAAAACATTCAGTTTACCCATAACTTCATACAACTTAGCTTTCCATTCTAGCACCAGGTCCTTGCGCATCACTTACTGGAGCAGTTTACCTCTTATTAGCATCCTGTATTATTATTATTATTATTATTACCAAAATTTTTACTTTTCTCAATTATTCATACTTTCACCTCTCTAGCTAATGTTTATATTGGCTGGTAATACTGCACTTATCTAATATCCAAAACTCACTATGGTTAGAGAAATTCTCGTGAATGAATAAATTTGGTCATAAAGCAAATTAATTTTGATTTCTAGTGGGGAGGAAAAGCATGAGGATTGTTCATTTTTGTATAGAATTATGAGTCTTTGGCCAAATATTCTACTCGGGTTAGTAAAGATTTTCTAATATAAACCCTCGATAACTCGACACACATGGGGCTCTTGCCTTGCCAAGTTATCCCAAATTCCGACTTATCGAGGCACTTCCCTTTCCTACAAAAATACAGTGGTCCCTCGGTTAACGAACGGTCCGATTAACAAAATTTCGGTTAATGAATTACCTCCCATAAGGATCTTCAATTTGGTTAACGAACAAAACTTTGATTAACGAAATCCTTACGACAAACACGTTTTGTTGTGAGCATCAGCTGATCAGCTGGTGGGCTAGTCTGCCAATTCAGTTATCTGTTCTATGTTTACATTTGATTCCAGTGGAGTAAATATCAAGAAAGTTGTGCTCTTTAATATTTTTTGTATTTTTATATTAAAATTATTAGTCATTTTCAAATTTAGTTAACATATTTGTTACTGCCACAGTAGGATACGTTACCGCCACAGTAGGATATGTTACTGCCACAGTAGGATATGTTACTGCCACAGTAGGATAAACTAGAAGAGAGAGAGAGGGATAGAGAGAAGGAGAGGAGTCAGGAGAGAGACAGAGTGTTGACAACAAACTTTGCTGAGGTGTTAAATGTGAAACAGATGGCCCTCGCCACGGGCTGACTCGCTCCCTGTGGGGTTCAGAAGATAGTCTCTAGCCGTCCAGTGAGCTAACAAGCCAGGGAGCTATTAAATCCTACATTAGACCCAAAACACGCAAGTTTTTATATGGTTTAACACCCCACTCTACTCAAATATATCATATGTAGTTGTTAATAGTGAAGGAACGTATGAGTGAATTAATTATCTCATATATAACATATGTAATTTGTACTCTGCAGGTTTTGACAAAATAAAAAACAATCGAGTCCTACGTGCAAGGATCTCATTATCCCACAGTCGCTCATTGGGCGGTTACAATATTGGTAATGTATGCAGTACAGGGAACTAGTTTTTTGTGCTCCCATCAGCCGCTTGACTCACCCACCAGGCGTCAGTTTGGCTTTGTTTACAGTGGAGTGAACATCGATTTTGTTGGTGTCTTGAATATTTTTGCATTTTTACATTAAAATTATTGGTCATTCTGAAATTTAGTTAACATATTGATAAGATATAGCACAGGGCAGTGTTGATTTAGATAAAGTAATCTTAAATTACACCTAGTGAACTTAAATTTTAT